CAAACGAACTATTATTTTAATTCTTGGAGCCACATCTACAAAGCTATAAATGTTTTAAACTAACAATATTAAATATTGTTAGTATAAACAAATATTATATTTTTTTATTGTTGTATATATTAATATTATTGTTGTAAATATATATTAACAAATATTATATTTGTTTACAATAATAAATGTTTTTAACTTATATTTTTTAACTTGTCAACGTTTTGTAAATATATTATAGATTTTATTAGTATATTCAAATTTTTTATATACAAGGAATGTATTTTTTATGTATGTAATGTATTTTTATGTATGCAAAGTATTTTTATATATGTGATGTATTTTTATGTATGTATTTTTTATGTATGTAATTTTATTTATGTGTATTTTATTCATATGTAATCTTTTAAAGCAATATGTGCGATTGATTTTATAAACAAAAATACTTTCAATAATAACTGCGTTTTTAATTAAATTATTAATAATCGTCAAAGTTAATACAAATAATTTTAGCCACTAATCCATTTTCCTCAGTGTACCCGATAACTGATTATTTCTCCTAAGAAAGAAAAGTTTTTAAGTTCTTAGAATTTGGTTTACTAACTTCTATTATTTTTGCTTCAGCCATTCTTACAAACTCATTATAATTAGAGTTACTTTTTTCTGTTTTAAATACTGATTAAAATTATAAAGCTCACTTACTAAAACATCATCAGCAGTATTGTGAATCAGTTCCGCTTCCTCCTCACAATGTAATTTAACGTTTTTTTAAATTTCTATCTAGCTAATTGAATTTCTACAGTAACTCAATGTATTAATTATTTAATTTGTTCATCTTACTAAGGAAGAAGACATAAGTATATAAATAAGACATAAGTATATAAAACTGGAAATAAGACATAAGTATATAAATAAAAATTATATATACTCTTTGATAAATTGAAGAACATTTGTTTTTTTATAGTTGTTACTCTATATAAAAAATGTCGCTTAATTTTATTTAAAAAATTATAAAAGAGCGACGTTTCAAAAATAATTGCTCTAATACATTTATTTTGTTTAAAGCTTTTTCGCGTTATAAGCTTTTTTTTTTTTTTTTCAATTTTTACCATATTTGCATTTGTTTTTTTTAAAAAAACTCCATAACTTAGGTCCTCGATATGCTATGGAATATTCTGTATATTTATTTAATTCCCTTGGCAGTTTAAAGGAAATTGATCGGTTTGTTCTTAAAAAATACTTTTCATTTGAATTTTTCTCAAACTTACGAATAAAATTGGCTGAAGTTAGATTATTAATATGTTTATACATCAAAAATAGGTGCTGATAAAGGTTTATGTCGTATACATTTATCTTTTTCATATTTCTCATTAAGGGTTTAGTATGCTCTCCTTTTTGTTTTCCTGTAAATAATTCTTCATGCATGTTTTTGCAAACTATGTATTTTTTTAAGTTTTGATGGTTGTGTACTAGCCCCTAAAATATTAGCATAGTTAATAAAACAATGAATTAAATAAAAGAATATTAACTTTAGACAAACTGTATTTACATATGGACAAATTCAGAGAAATGGTTTCACTAACTCTTGATTGTAAATATTTAATATGGGGAAGCCAAGATAAATTATTATCAACAAGTATTCCTAAAAACTTTATATAGTCTTGTTTTTTATATGTATGTTATTTAAAATTAGGTCTGATACTTTAAGGGTAAGATTTTCTTCTTGCATTTTTTTATGAAATAAGATATATTTTGTTTTTTCAATATTTTTATGAGAGTTTATTTGCCATAAACCAGTCATTTACCTTATATAATTCAAGATTCATTTCTGCATAAAGTTGTTTCATACTATTGTTGAAAAGAAATAGGTTTGTATCATCTGCAAACATAATTGGGTTTAAATTTACCGATCCATTATAATGGATCGGTAAAGGTAAACTTAAATAATTATTTAAGTCATTTACATAAATTAAGAGTAAGAGAGGACCAAGTATTGATCCTTGCGGTACTCCACACAGGGTTTTAAGTGTTCCGTATTCTTGATTTAGAACATATTGTTTTCTATCTGTGAGGTAAATTTCATAGAAATATAATCCAATAATAGACCTTAATAGTTCTTCCATAATGCTTCAACTTTCCTAACAATATACAATGATCAACAGTGTCAAAAGCTTTTTGAGAGATCGATAAATATACTTAAAGTAATTTTTTTTTTTTTAAAGTCATTATTTATTTGATTAACTAGTTCAATACAAGCATGTTAAGTTGAATGATTTGAAATCTTAATTGTTTTGAATAAAAGAAATTGTTTTTAGTAAAATGATCAAAAATTCTATTGTAAATTATACGTTCGAATATTTTCAAAAATACAGAAAGTACTGATATAGGCCTGTAGTTGGAAACGTTAGAATGACCATCATTTTTATAAATTGAAAATACTTTTGCTAATTTTAGTACATCATGAAATACCCCTCGATCTGAAGATAGTTTTACTATATAAAACAAGGATTTACTAATTATTTTGTTATTTGCAATAACTATACTACTGGGTATAACATCAAGTTCTGGTGATTTATTCTTTTTTAAGCAGGAAAAAGCTGTTTCAAATTCTTTTAATGTTAAGTCAAAGTCGTGCAGTCATTTTGTCTTCTGATGCTGGCGAGTTTAGTATAGTTTTGTTAGCAAGATTAAATCCTACATTTGTAAAATATTTATTAAACTCGAATATTTGTCTAGAACATATTATAACAGTATTTTTGATATTGATTTTTTTTGGTAGCAAAGAAGTTTTATTTTTATTTTTCCCATTTATTACTGACCATGTTTTTTTAGTGTCTAACTTACAATTAGTAATTTGTTTGCTGTAATATATTTTTTTATTTTTTTAAGAAGATTGGTATAAAAGTATTTGTATGTTTTATAATTTATTTCATTAACTGTGTTTTTATTTTTTAGAAATTTATTGCATAATTTTTGTTTGGTTTTAGAGCATTTTATAAGAGTTTTATCCATCCATGGATTAGCAAGAGTTTTTGTTTATATTTTTATTACTTCATTTGGACACGCTTCATTGAAAATCTCTTGAAATTTCTTTAAAAATAAGTTACACGCTTCATTTGCATTTTGACTTTTATAAACATCACTCCAATTTTCTCTATATAATTTGTGAGATAGATTGTATTAATAGTTGAAAGGTTACATTTTTTTAAGCTTAAAATTTTAGGTTGATCCTCTGAAATAGCTGTAACATTTTTTATGTTAATATATATTGGGAAATGATCACTTATTGTTATTCTTTTATTGTTTATTTTTATAATACTATTTTCGATAAAGTCTTAAAATGATCTAATTTTACCACTTGGTAAAATTAGATCATTTCAAGACAAAGCAATTAAATCAAGACAAACTGTTACTTTGCATGTAAAATCAAATAATCTTTCAGTCTTGCCAATCATAGGTCAAAAGGTTCTTTTATCCGCTTTTTCAGTGATGCAGATCCTGCAATTTAAAAATTAAAGTTAAAATTTTAGCATTTAGTGTTGAAATTACTATAAAGAATGGTAATTATATGAATTAAAGTTAAAATAAAAATTTAGTTTTAGTTAAATTACTTTTAATGTATATTTGCTTGAATTCACCACAACTTTGTTTGGTTTTGGTATTTTTTTTATAAATTTTGGTAATTTTTGTTTAACATAAAATAATTTAAAATATCCGTAAAATAAGAACTATATAGTGATTTTTGGTTACTAATACTGGCTCCATTTAATTGTAAGTTGTATTGCATTATTTCTTTTACTTTGAGTGTCTTGAATTATTTCCTACTTTTGACACACTGATAATTGTATATTTATTTTAGGAAATCCACTGCACTATAAAAAATTTAAATGCAGCTAACCCTTAAAAAGACAAATTGAGTTAACAAAGTCGATGTTAACTTGATTCCGTTGGTCACTTGGCTATTTGACGTTTATAGCACTCTCCTATTATCTGGATCCTTGTTTTTCCACTATTTTGGGAAGATATAGAATCATTATCATCAACTTTACGCTTTAAAAACTGTTTTTTTGCATCTTGTTTTTTCTTTTCTTTAATGTTTATTTTGTATTCTCTATGTATTCTCTAAATATGCATTATCAAGTAAATGGAATTTTTTTTGGCAAGAGTTGTGCCACACGCGCCCTCATTATTCTTGTCCTGTACTAAGCATGTGGATGTTTTAGTTTTTTTATTGTAAATAAAAAAATTCCATACATAACTTTCACGATTCAAACCAGCCAACAATCTTGACAAACTGGTTTTTTTTATTGATTTATTTTCTCCTCTTTAACTTAACTCTTTATTATTATTTTTTTTTGTAACAAAAGATTCAATGTATCATTGACAAACGAGTTTGACTTTTACATTTATACGTTTAATCTTTTTTTTTTATAAAAAAATTTCAAAGCATGACAAAAAAGCCAAAGAGTGTACGACCAGATTGTTAGCCAGACATGCGCAACAGTAATAATAGAAGTGTTAATTAATTGCCCAAAAAAAATTTTTTAACAATTTTTACTTTTGAATTCAAAAATTTTTGTTCAGTTATAATAAATACACTTACTTCTATTTTCGTTTCTGATGTTATTGTTCAAATGGATTTCAGTTTTTGTTCACCAAATAAATCCTAATTTCAGTTTTAGTTCATCTTAACGATATTAATTTTTTTTACTACTAATTTTACATAACTTTACCTTAAATATCACTGCATATATATATATACATATATATACATATATATACATATATATATATATATATATATATATATATATATATATATATACATATATATACATATATATACATATATATACATATATATACATATATATACATATATATATATATATATATATATATATATATATATATATATATATATATATATATATATATATATATATATACATATATTTATTAATGTATGTATACATATATGTAAATGTTTAACTTTATATTACAAATGCTAATATAGCAATCAATGAAGATTGTGCTGAAGGATGGATTGAGAATGAAAGATATTGCTACTTTATTCAAACTAAAACTGAAAAATTTGATGGTACAAATTGGTGGGATTCTTTCTTATCATGTCAGTATAAAGGAGGGAATTTGTTGAGTATACAAAATCATGCTGAGTATTTGTTTATTCAAAAAAAACTTTTAGGTCAAAAAAACAAAACAAATCATTTTTTTTGGACTGGTATGATGTTTAACTTCTTTTTATAATACCATATGAATTATAAAAATATTTATTTTTGAAAATACATATTTAGAATATTTATTTTAAAGGTCTCAGCAATTTATATAACAGCAAAAAATTTGTGTGGTCTGATTACACACACTCCCAGTTCTTTTATTGGAGAAAAAATGTGTCTTATAATAACGTGGAAAATCAGTTTTGTGTAGAAATGAATTCTGATGGTTGGAACGCCAATGGATGTTACTTTCTGAATGGATTTATTTGTAAAGCTCAAAAAG